CGTCGGATAAACTGCGCCCGAAAATGTATATATCGATCTAGCGCCTACCAGCGACCATCAGCGTCCACCAGCGACCAGCAGCGACTCGAGGGCTAGGGAAGTGCAGGTATCGATAGCGACCAGCAGCGTCCACCAGCGACCAGCAGCATTCTGAAGTGGAAAGAGTGGGTCGATGGGAAGTAAGCAGGTGGTACCCTCCTATCGCCCCATATCTGTACCACGAAATTGCTGATGGTCACTGGTAGACGCTGGTAGACGCTGGGAGACGCTGCGGATGCATACGAACGTTGTCTACGGGACGGTAGGACCACGCAGTGCGCGACAATGGCAAATACTGTGGCAGTCGACGAGAGTATGCTGTCCAGAAAGCATTGTGACTGCTGATGATTAGGGATTAGCAGATAAGCTGAACCAACTCGCGAGCAGAATCTGTGCAGGTTCCTCTGCACCGCTTGCTATGTAATCGCTCTGCCTATGCAAATAGAACAAAATCTAACGCTCAGTAATACAAGCCCTACCAGAGTGAAGAGCATGGCGGAAAACTGAAGCGAACACACCCTGATCCGACAACGCAATGACTTGTCGCCGCCGTGTGCTCCCTTACAAGACCGCAGCCTTCGCAGATTGCCGCACACGCGACGTAGCGTGGTCCTAAAGACCTCCTCCCAGAGAAGAGTGCATTCTTGATTCTGTTGATTGTCACAAAGACGCCACTGAGGACCGCAGCGTGAAACAAGTCGCATTCCCGTTCCGGGCTCACACACTGCGCACCATTCTACGCGCAATTTTTGTAGATTGTTACCCACGTTGTTGTTCTGGATTGTTGCTCAGAGGCAGTTGGCACGATAATCCCTAAGACGAGTAGGATTAATACGCCTGGCAGGACGGAATTCCGCGCCCCTGAGCAGGCGCTGCGTAGCGCCTTTTCCAAGGAAGATAGCACAACCTAATTCAGCAGGCCCCATCAAGCCTACAACATACTGACCCGAACGCCCACAAATGGACGACCGTACCTGATACTCTTATTGCTTTGCTGGCTAAGTATGAAGCGAAGGATTGGTATGAAGCGGCTGCGGTGCTGCATGGATATATGAGAACATACATGCAGCTGTCCCTGCCGCATGTAATTGGCAAGATGCCTATGGGAAACTCGTCCGAAATCACTTTCTGAGTCATGAAGAACGAAGGCTTTCCTTTTGCAAGTTTTTGACCGTTTCACTTCGTTTTTTCACCACTTTCCCCACTGTATCGCAATCTGCTAGCATTTTAGACCGAGTATCAAGTTAGTGCCATATGCCTCCAAACTGAAAGCCCACCTTGAAATCTTGAAGTGGGCAAGCGACAACGGTACGTGGAAAACGGGTTGAGCCGCGCCGGATCCATAGTCCTTGACACGCCCCGACAACCGCAGCGAACAGGACTAGGTATAAGCTGTCAGAACACGCGGCTGCGGCGGAGAAGCAGCAGCAGGAGAGCATCCAGTTTTTGTTGCGATAGCATTTCAAGGTTTGTTAAGAGCTGAATGAAGATAAGGACTGTACTCTGGCCCACAAAGCCGTGGGATCGCACTTGAAGGTGAGCAGGTACGGAAGATGTTTCGTAGGCTAAAAAATAGTAAGTAAAGGCTGCCGCGGGGATGAAATTGGTGCGGAATAGGGTTGCTTTCACCATCCTTCGACTATGGTTCAAAATACAAACAGTTTATCAGCTCTGCTCTTATCAGTTTTTTTCGTGTCTCTTATCAGTTTTTCCGTGCCTGTTGATTTATCTCTCAGGAAGAACGTCCGATGCACTTCTAGACACCACTACTTGTGCCATGAACCTTCCATTTCACGCCCTCATTTGATCAAATTCAGTGAATCAAGTATTATTAACTGCGTTGTCGTGAATTTCACTGAAGCAACTACCAGTCTAAATTGATCATCACGTTTACCTTCGTGTAGTAGTTACTGATTTTAAGACCATAAATCTCTCACGGCCTCAAAGATGTAACCTCAAACAATCTCAGGTAAAGCTCGCGATCATTCGCCATCACAGATAGTGGATTAGGGGTTTGCATATAGACGACAAGGTGCTGAGTAACTCGATAGTGAAGAAAAAAGCAGAAAAAAACATGCCACCTGCCCTAGATAGAACCCCATTTCGATCCCAGTTTGTACGTGCCCAATTAACTCCATCTCCAACACTATGCCCTCATCTGCACAGCTGATTCCCCGATAAGACCCGTACAAGTGAAGATTTTCATGCTTTTTCTTCCAGCAGCTTCGTTTCTCACCGAAAGGCGGGCCTGGAGGCGGAGTCACTGGAGAGACGGAGGACGTCGTGAACCTATATTCCGCTATAGCGCCCCTCCCTTACAATTTTTTGCGCAACCGGTACAAGGTTGTTCGTCGTGGACCACACTACCCTCCCGACGCCATATTCAACTTCTATACCTGATCGCGGACCGTGCCTTTAAAGGAACGGTCCGCGATCAAGTATCGAAGATGAAAATATGGCATCGGGAGGATAGTGCGGTCCGCGACGAACAACCCTGTACCGTTTTCGCGGCAAAAAAGTGCAGGGGAGGGGCGCTATAAGGCAAAATAGGTCCAGTGGTTCCTCCTTTTTTCCAGTGACTCCGCCTCCCAAGCGCCGCCCTTCAGTGAAAACCAAGTTGTGGGACGAGAAAAGCATGAAAATCTAAGCGGCCTTCGTTATTTGTACGGACGTAGGGCTTGTATGCAGCCAGCTGACGCGCGCCGCGCAGTGGATAAAACTGGAAATTACTGCAAAAAGATATTGCTATGGCCAAAAAGTGCCACGAAATTTGGAACGAAATAGGCGACATTGCAATTTGAAAAGCAAAACACAAACTCAAAAAGAACAAAGAAATATAATGATGAGATGAATTCACTGAAAAAATAAGAATATTAAAGGTCAGTCTTTCAAACGTGGCGCCACACCTATTTCTGGCAGCGAGCCAATAACGTGGAACGCTCGTCCATAAGCGCTGTTTCCCCATCGTATGCACGTACAAACTAGGATTGTAATGGGTCATTGGGCATTTTTCTGCTTTTTCCTTCACGATTGTTTTACTCTTAACCTTGTCCTTTTTATGCGATGCCTAAATTCACTATCTAAGATGGCAAAATTGAGAGCGCGGCTTCTGTTCTTTAAAGCTATGTAAGAGAAGGGATGAGATCGTGTAGCAGAAAAAGGGGCTGCTTACCAAGTGTACCGTCCGGCTAAATCTCTGTTGCACCCATTTTGTTGCGCCCACCTAAGTCAAACAAATGTCTCTAAAGGGTCTACTAATTGACAAGTACAACTGTAACTTGTGCAAAGGACGAAAACACTGACTTGCCCATGGGCAGAGCCTCGAATTCCATTCATAATGTCCCTACGATTCTGAAGAGGAGTAGAATGCCTTTCATACATCAGAAAGGACCGGGCAATGTGGTAGGTCCCATCCCTCGCCATGTCAATTTAAGACTCCAAGATTACCGTACCGCCACCGTATTCCATATGGATTTCTCAGCACACCACCTCGGCTGCTGGAATGATACTAGACTAGCGATTGCTGATAAGTAACCCAATAGTTAAGTAATGTTAGTGTCTTCCGTTTCATTCCTGTGGACTGGTCGCTAGCGAAGGCGGCTATCTCTGGATGTCGTTTCCCCATCTGAGGTAAATGTTTCTTTTGATCAGTGCTATTTCAGCTCAAAGATGGTCTACCGAAAGGGACCTCGCAAGAGCTATCTCAGTTCACAAAACGAGGCCATCTGGGTGAATCAGCAATGTACGATTTTGCGCGATGGTAGGTGGGAGGGTGAGTAACGCACGACGTGCGGTCAGCGACGACGAGCAGTGCTCAGCAGAAAATGCTACTTGACGCAGACTTGGTGAGCTCGTTCCTAATGTTGCTTTCTTTTCCTGAAGCAAAAAAGTGCTTCTCTTTTATGTGGAAAGATTCTACTATCGCCTGTCGAGTGGTGGAGTGAGCTATCGTCTCCAGACCGCATTCCTACTCGGTCATCCCTGCCTAATCGTAAACCTTGAGATTCGTGGAGTTGGACTGTCGGAGAACATGCGAAAGGAAAGGAAAGCATACCTGTCGACTTTGATAGTCTGAGAGAGCTCAAAAAAGACTAGATGCGTCTCGATTGACTTTTGATTCTTTGATTGTCCAGGCAGGAAATGGGAAATGTCTGATACTCGTTGTTAACAGTCTTTCAATTCTCTGATTATTCGCTTGTCTCTAAGGCGCTTTAGTTTTGACTGAGGTGATATCTAGTGTATCAGCAAGTTACCTTACACTTGATACCCTTGATACTCTGTTCCTTCACCGCACTGTCCTCTAGTTGGTTCTTTTGTTCTCATTTATTTTCTCTCCGTTTCAACAGAGCTGCAGCATTGTTCACCGCGGATTACGGGGCGTGTCAAGGGCGCATGGGTTTGCCACGGC